ATCATGACCTGAGCTGAAATCAAGGGTCAGATGCTTAACCGATTGAGCCACTCAGGCGCCCCTGAACAATTTTATGAATTTTTAAAGTTTTAAAATAGTACTGTGAAAATAACATATTAAATCAATGAAATGCGAAGACTAAAAAATGAAATATTTTCACTTTAACATCCCAATACACAAATAGATAATAAACATAGGAAAAAAAATCATAAACACCAGTAATCAAAAGACATGGAAATTAGAGCTACAACAAGGTATTTATTTATAAAATAGACTAAGGCTAAACAAGTAACACCAGTCTTGTGACTGGGTAGGGAAATGAGCAGGCATTGTTGGCGGAGTGTATATAGGCAGTATCTGTCTGCAGGAGAGTTTGGCTGTAGTTATCAAAAGCTTTAATTGTGTATATACCTCAGGACTCAGGCATTATACTTTCAGTGTTTATCGTAAGGAAGTAGTCGTGAATATTTGTCTGTAATAAATATTTGTTTATAAGAACATTTATCACAGTATTTAAGGTGAAAAATTGACTATAATCCAAATTTCTAAAAATGAGAGGTTACTTAAATAACTTATGAAGTATCGGTGGTATATGATGTCTTTAGGAAGAAGCACACCAACAAGTTAAGGCTTATCTGTGGTATATGGGAATGTGGCCTTTTTCTTTTTGTTTTTGGTTGGTTGGGTTTTTTTGTTTTGTTTATTTGACAGAGAGAGGGAACACAAGCAGGGGGAGGGGGAGAGGGAGAAGCAGGCTTCCTGCTGAGCAGGGTTCCCGATGCGGGACTCGATCCCAGGACCCTGGGATCATGACCTGAGCCCAAGGCAGAGGCTTAACGACTAAGCTGCCCAGGCGCCCCCTCTTTGGCTTTTTCTGTAATTTCCAAATTATCCTCAATGAATATGTATTATGATTATAATCCAATACAATATTAGCGAAGGGTAGTAGAATTTGCCACCCTCAAATAGGCTTTTTTGGCATAAAGATTATTTTAGGCTGATTATTTTTAAGAAACTATAGACACAGAAGCTCTAAAAACTGGGTGAGAGTTACCCTTTTGTAAGAGAGATTTACATTTACAAGGGAAATCTCTATTTTTAAGAGTATCTCCCTCTCTGTACCAGGAAGAGAAGGATGAGTCTAAATTTCTGGAAACTATCCATGGAGAAGAAAACAGTTTACCTTAAGTTAACTTAACCCTGCATAAGAACCTTACCCTTGTTCACTGTGCTTTTCCTGGTAACCTTGCATAACTGCCCTCTACCCCCAACGTCTTCTTTTGCCTTTAGCTGGAGATGTTATTTTAGTTGCTGGCTTGGGCCATTTTGGGGAGTTATTCAGGTTTCCTGGATCTCCCTCATGTATACAGAAAGTATGCATGTTTATTAAACTTTTGTTGTTTTTCTCTTGTTAATCTGACTTACTGTGGGGGGGGGGGTGTCTCAGCCAAGAACCTACAAGAGTAGAGGGAAAATTATTTTTCCTCCCCCCACTTTAGTTAAACATTGAAAAGATTGAAAAAAAAACAGTGTTTGAAAACAAGTCATGGTTTAGTGGACAATAAAATTAGGAAGAGTGGAGTTGAATCTTAAAGGATGTTAAGAATCAGGCAAATTACATACAGGAAATGTGAAGAAAAATTTATAGACGTTTTTCCTCCACCATATTCTGTTTACTTACGTATTACAAGAAAAGCATTTTTAAGAAATGGAATCCAGTGTTACTATTACTTAGGTTAATCATAAGATCTGTTTGACCAGAAGTCTGCATATACAGCTCCTTTCTATTTAAAAAAGAACATGTATGTTCCCACTTTCAAAGTTGAGCAGTTAATATAATAAATATCACAGTGTACGCATATAAAATTAGTTTTTTGAAGCAAACCTTCGTCTTTGACCTTTAGTTTTATATGTTAGCTATTCCAGTTTACATAGTTAATTCTTTTGCAAGTGTTATTAATGAGACTGAGACATTTGATTAGATGTGTTGTGATTTCTTTTTTTTTTTTTTTAAGATTTTATTTATTTATTTGACAGAGAGAGAAATGGTGAGAGCAGGAACCCAAGCAGGGGGAGTGAGAGAGGGAGAAGCAGGCTCCGCCCTGAGCAGGGAGCCCAATGCGAGGCTCGATCCCAGGACCCTGGGATCATGACCCGAGCCGAAGGCAGATGCTCAACGACTGAGCCACCCAGGCGCCCCTAGATGTGTTGTGATTTCAACATTCTGTGGCAGAAGTGGTCTGTCCTCGTGGCTGTACTATCACTGAGTTCCCGGAGATGGGAACCAGTTGTGATACCCTGAGCTGACCGGATGGACGAATGTTGCTGGGCGTGCCCTTAAATCTGTATTACTGTTCTCTACTTTTAGTTCCACCCAAGACCGTCAAAGCCCCTGAGGATCAGCTGAAGTCTGAGAACCTCGAGGTGTCCAGTTCCTTCAACTATAATGTGCTGCAGCACCTCGGCCAGTTCCCCCCTCTCATGCCCAACAAGCAGATGGTGGAGTCGGCCAACAGCAGTAGCCAGCAGGGCTCTGGGGGCAGCAAGCCCACCATGTCCTATGCCAGCGCTTTACGGGCCCCTCCCAAGCCCAGGCCCCAGCCTGAGCAGGCCAAGAAGAGCAGCGACCCCCTGTCTCTATTCCAGGAACTTAGCCTGGGGAGCTCATCAGGCAGCAATGGCTTTTACTCCTATTTTAAATAATCACTTTTTTTTTTCCCTCAAGGGAGAATGTTTTAATTTCTGTTTGTATCAGTAGAATTAAGATAGTTGGACTTTATCTATAGATGCACAGTTCCCTTTGTTTTAATATTAAATACGTTTCACTTAATTGCTTTGCTGCTAGACTTGCAACTAATTTTTTTAAAAGTATATTCCATTATTTTGCATTTTTGACGTGAGTCTTTTGACAGCTTTTATGTAGAATAAAAAATATTTTTAAATTTGTGTATTGTTACATATGTTTGCATCAAGCTAGCAGCTAAGAGGTTAATTGTGCAACTATAAAAAAAAGAAAAAAAAACTTTGTCTAAAATGTATTTAAAAAGAAAAAAAATTGTAAGTAGCATTTACATTTATTCAATAATATTACCATATGCTGGGTTTCTGTACCAGAAATGGCCAGTTGATGTACAAATGTATGTTATTTTTGCTTAAATTCATTTAAAATTTTTTAAAATAAAGGGGCAGCATCTTCTAAATACTTTAAGTTTTATCAGCTTTTTTTTTTTGTGACAAGATGCTGCATTCTAAAACTTTTATAGTTTTAGACTATGTATGATGTGCTGTTGTAATCTCCATCCACTGTAGGATAGAGTTAAAGGCATTCTTTGCAGGTGTATTTTGTATGCCACTGTTTTTTGTAACATGAAAAAACATTGGCATATTTAGTTATTTTTTGGACAAGCTATACTTCAAGCTTGTTTTTAACGTTAATTTGATAGTGTGTGTGTGTTTTTTTTTAAACAAATCATGAAGCTGAAAAATTTTTAGGATTGTTGGTGCTTAGTAGACTTGATAACTATTTTAAAAATGCGTGAATTTAGTAAAATCCTTTTTTTCTCACTATGCATGTGTAAATGTTTGTAATCTGGCTTTCCCCTCCCCCCTCCAGTGGTATAAAGAATTGTGCCGCTTTAAGGTTTGTTTTTTTTTTTCCCCCCCTCCAGTAAAAATTTTGGTACCTTATTTGATGTTTACATTAAAATGTGACATTATATATGGCAATTCAAATATTTTGCTAACTGTTTTGTTTGAGGAACATCATTAAAAAGAAATATAATGTTTGTCCAAGATGTATCAAAATTCATCAAAATCTGGGGCAAAAAACTACCCTTGTTTTTCATGTCTTTTGATTCTTATAAAAATAACCCCACTGAACTTGTATAAAAATATAAAATTTAAATAGCTATCTTAAATATTCTACAGTCTAAAAATTGTTTTGAATGAACTTTGGTATAATCCAAAGGAAAACATTTACCCTCTTAAAACTTGTAGTCTTGTAACACATTTGAAACAATGCATGTCCTTATTGTTTTCCTGATTTGGTAGTACTACTTTTATACTTCAGAGATATCTTGAAACTACAATATAACTTTTTTTTTTTTTAATAAGATAAGGTTGGAAAACATTGCTAATGAACCAATGGATCCTGATGATCCATTCAAAAATAGTTTTTTGGAGGACTGCTTTTGAATAGGCCATCCTGTATTCACAGTACATTTTTTAAATGGGGTTGCAAAGTAGCAGGAGTAAAGAAAACTCCTTACATCTCTTCTGTGACTGGAGTTTAGTTGCTGTGGGCCGGCTACAACCCCGCCCCCCGCCCCCGTCATCCTCAGACAATTTAGGGAGAAGAGAATGCCTTTAGTTCAAGGTTAGCGAGCCTGCAGGACAAAGAAAGAGTGCCTCTGTTCTTCCGTTCTGTCTTTCTGCGCAGAGTGGGTGCCCGTCATTTGCCTGTGGCTTTCTGTTAGGGGCCGTGAATCTCCATGTGAGGCAGCAGATGGAGACCTGTCGACTGCAGACGTGTTAATGGTTAGTATAAATCACAGTTGGAAAACAGAGCCGGCAAGTTCCAGCACCACGTTTTCTCTGTATGAGGTCAGGCCGACACATTTAACTAGGTCAGATTTTGCTCAACATAACTTTAGTCACAAGAAAAGAAAATTTTTTGCCACATAGCTATATGTATTTCCGACTCTATGACGAAACTCAAGGCAGAGCCCAAATGAAAATTAGATCTCTCTGATGTGAGGATGTCTGTGAAAAATAGTCTCTTCAGCAATGATGATTCTCCTCCCCCACAACACACATGTTTAAGAGCTTTTGAGACTAAGAAGATAGAACTGGCTTGTCAGGGCTTTCAGTTAATCCCTTGTCGTGGAGTGATTGCCTGATTTTCTGTTTTCCGTACTTGAATCTTTAAAAAATCAGTTTGAAATTATTTGTATTTATATTTAAAGAGGTCAGGTGCACACCCCACCACTTTGTATAAATATACCGATGCTGGAAGCTTTGGGTAAGGAAGCTGCTAAGTCGTTGTGACAGACCTGTTCTAAGCAGTTATTTCCAAAAAAACCCTAGAAATAATAGCTACTTACCAGTCCCCTGCTCTGCTGTGTCTGAGTGTCCCTCATTTCCTTACTGTTCCTGCAGCCGGTCAAGGATTCAGATACTGTTTTCATCCACTACCTTATTTTAGATTCTGCTTCGAATGTGTGTTCCAACACACTTACTCTTCATCAGCATTACTCAGTGCCATCTTTCCAACCATAAATAATGGTTCTGAGCAAGTCTTACTGCAAGAATCACTTAAGTTTCTCTTGAAATGAGGCCTGGCTTTTGAGGACCGTTCATGCTGTCTGGGTATTACTTGGGCAGTATCAGCAAGTACCCACAAAGCAGACTTAGAAAACAACTTACGTCCCAGGTTCAACCTTAGAGTTGAGATGGAACTGTTTTTTGTTTTTTTTTAAAGAAACTTTGATGTTAGCTCTTGGATAATACCAAGTATTACCAGCTTCCTTTTCTTCCAGAACAGATTTCTTTTACGTGAAGTTAATTGTTCACATGATGTCTTTCTACTTCTTTGTTCTTCGTATCACTCTGAGGTTTTTCCTTTTTCTTGCCAGAACTATTTTTTTTATTCATCTTTTTAATTTCAGTGCTACTTGAGATTTTCTTTTTTTATCTTAAAGAAATTCTTTTGGGTGATAGCATTTGTAGAGTATCTATGCTAAAGGTTTTTCTCCTGATCTAAAAATGAATTTTTGTTAAGATTTGAAGAACCTCATTCAGTGTAACATGGATATTTTCTGGTGTGTTTTTAAAAGGGGTTTTGGCTGCCATTTTGACACACACTTTACCAAATTGTTATAGCAGAGCTTTGTTTTTGATTAATCAGTAGTTAATTATTGACTGTTTAAACTAACATGACCTTAATTTTCCTTTCCTCAGACAGATAGGCTTTCTATCCAGGTCATTTTGTATATATGAAATAACAAACTGCTTTGTGTGGTTTTTTTCATGAGAGATTCTAGAATAAGTTCAGGTTCAGTGTAAACATCAATTGGTCTTTTCAGTTCAAAGAATTGCAGAATAAGTAAAATAAGCAGAATTCCCACTGAATAAGCATTACCTAATTAAACATAGCAATCTCCAAGACCTATTTGCGAAAACAGTTTCCTTGTTTATGGAGGCATTGAAATTGCTGAGAAAGCTAACTGAATTTCCTCACTTTGAGATGATTAATATATAATATTATCTTGCTCTAGTGTAGTTACCTGACATGTTTAATATTTTTCATGTATATACATCTCAAGAGCAAAACTATAAACATAGAAGAATGTATCTCTAGCTACCTTGGCTAGAGAGAGCCACCCTTGCCTAAGAACCAGGGGCCTGAAAAAACAATTTCAAGCTAAATTTTAGATTTCAGCTATTGTTAGGAAAATTAGATTTGCTGAAATAGTCATTTAAAAAGAGACACCTGTTAGCATTGTTTCATATCAAAGTTGTCTCTAAAAAGGGAATCCCAGAAAAAGTATAAAAATACAAGATTAAAACTTTAAATATATTGAAAGATACAGATTGCTGCCTTAAAATGTAATTTAGGCTACCATCCGTTGTTTGTTTTTTTTTTTTTTCTTTTTTCTTCTAGCTCCACAAAGGTAATAATTTGTCCTTTATGATTTCCCAGACATTATTTCTTGCAAGCCATCCCTGGAACATACAAAAATCCTTAATTTCTACCACCACCCTATGTGTCTTCCTAAATCTTGGAAGTAAATGTGTTAATCTGATTTTGCTTTCCCCTCTTTGCCATCTGATCCACAAACTACCCAGCAATTAGAAATAATGGATAATGTTCTATGATTTCTTGTTCAAAATCTCACGTAGCGATGTCTGTCATATTATAAAGATAGCATCATGAAAGAGTAAGTGGCATGCTAGTCTTCACAGTTCTCACTATATTAGGTGTCTCGCATTTCCCTTCTACTTGAAGTTGGATATTTATTTGCTGAGATTTTACTGTAAAGCTGCTAAATTCACACTTACTACTTTCATACATCTGTTTAATTAGCAATTGCAAGACCACTGTTAAAAGGAGTGACTCTTAACTAACGTTTAACATTCTTATAAGACATTCAGAAAATGTATTGTTACTACTTTAAACTAGAATATCAAACATTAAAAATAAGACATTTTTAATGTAACATTTGAAATTTTTGAAATGATGGAAAATATCTACTTTGGAATAAACTTTAAGGAAACAGTCAAAGGAGTTTCTAAATTTTTTTGAAGATAGAAGAATCTAGACTTAGTAATGTGAGCTGCAGTTAAATCCTAAACCCAGTTAATACGGTTGTCTAAAGCTTCTAAAACTGGAGCGTGAAGGAAACCCAGAGACATTCATACACGTATAGTTTCAGTAATCAGCATTAGGCCAGATTTTATTTGCAATTTGTTCAACAGAGATTTTATTTTGATACAAATATTAAGCATAAAGCATAGCAAGTTTTATATAATTCTATGAGTTCATTAAACAATATTATGGGACTTTCATTATGTTCTTGGGGTGTCTTTTTAGCTATTTCTACACCTCATATAGGAGGCCTCTTCTGTATTTTATTTTGCATCCTAGCATGTGACTGCCTGCCTTAGAACTATGTCTAGGAGGGGAAATCAATACTACTTTTAAAAACACTTGGTTTTTTCAAATGAATTTTTTCATTAATAACTTCTTTTGCTGTTTGAGAAGTAAAGGGGAAGGGAGGGGTAGCGAATTACATAGTTTCAACACAGAAGTCACCCAGTAGTATCTGTTCAAAGATCTGCCCTATTTTAAGATTTTAGAAGTTCGAGCAGGGTAGGCAAACTTTAGCCAGCATCGGAATTACCTGGTGGTCTTGTTGAAACACGGATCGCTGGACCCCGCCCTAGAGTTTCTGATCCCAGGCTGAAGCTTGATCATTTGCATTTGCAGCAAGCTCTCAGGTGATGCTGCTATGGCTCAGGAACCACACTTTGAGAACTGCTGGTCTAGAGGAAGTCCGAAGGTCTTTCCAACCATGCATGTCTTTACTCAGTGTAAACAACTTACCCCGTGAGAAATTTTAATAGTTACGATGCCATGAGTGGAACATTCATGGACAAAGATCTCTGGAGTGACGAGAGCCTCCGGATTGGCTGCCGCCATCCCCCATTAAGGTCTGTGGTACTCTCCCACGTTAGGGTGCAGGAGCTCACTCATTTCTAGGGCGAGATTGGTTTTGTGTATGCTACAACCTGGGCTTTGTTCTGGAAGCTGTGCATTTGGTGTGCTTAGAGTTGGTCTCGGTCCTTACACGTGGAGATGAGAATTGTGAGAGGGAGCCATCGGAACGTCACGAGAATGCACTTTGCATTTATCGCGGCACTAAGTACAGGAGGCCTGGTCCTAAGATGGCAGTGACATGGAGCATTGAAAACAATAGGTAATCCTCAAATAATGTGTTCGTAGTTTTTGCGGCTTTTTGCAGGGTGGGGTGGGGGGAGGTGGGCGGTGGGAATGAAGGCAAAGGATTTGCTTTTCAGATGATGTGTTTCTCAGGTTAACAGAGTTACGTTGGATTCTCTGCCATGCCAGCAAGTGTTAG